AAGTTATCTAGAAAATTCTAAACATATAAATAATGTTACACTTATCAATGGTGCCTTGATTACATGTATCTGCTGACTTTTAATATCTGTGTGCAAGCAAGAATGGGACAAAATCCAAGCAAATGATGGCTAAATGAACTCTATAACAAGAAAAACCCTTTCCCTTTTTTTACAATTGCCCTGCCACCAAATACCAACTGATTTTGACTTTTACTGGGCTTATGTCAGCTTTAATGGTAGTATTAAATAAAGACTTATTTTCTAATCTGCACATTCTCAAACAATCCAGGCTGTGGAAAGACCACCTGACCTTTTAGGCAGATGGATTCACATGCTCATATTACCTGTCATATCATATGTAGTTACTAAAGTAAGTAAAACTGCATCAGACACCAATGAGGAAGGGATCATATACTACACAAGTAGGAACATCTGAAAAAGTAGTGTAAGACTTCAGTATCACAGAAATATACAAGTGGCTTTGTAAGTATTTATGATAGCTACAGAAAATAAACGGGAGCAAAATCACTCATAATCTGTTATTTAACTGTGGATTTCATCCCATGAAGTTATTTCAGATAGTTCAGAAGATAATTTCATGGTTGAACAGTGGTACCAGTTCAAACTAATCTACAGTCAGAAGAAGCTTTTAAATGCTGCTTTATTACTAAATATTAGGCAAGAGACATGAAACACCTGGTGTAAAATGGATCGCCAATCGATAACTTCTAATCTCTGTAGCAACTTAAGGTGTGGAAATAAGCCTTGCCTATTAGCAGATAAGAGTTTAATATCCTACATAGGGTGTTTCATGTGGTGCTGCTATCTGAAGAACTCTGCTGGCAAGGCTCACCATAGTGTTAGACTCCAAACCCACTCGCAGTGAGGACTCCTATCTAAACAAGCTTGCACTCACATTCTATTTCTTCTTCTGGCATCCCAACGAGTGGGATTGGTCACTGCACACACTGCTAAACAAAAACTTTTCAGGATTAAAGAGGCTAAAGAAATTAAAGGCTTAACTGTTCACTTGTGCATTTTTGTCTTTTCTTCATCATTTTCACATAGTATTTATTAAATGTTTGGGTTTTCTACAGAAATATTGGCAACCATACATGAGTATAAATGAGACAGCACAAGCATTACTCATCTGCTTGTGGTAGTGCCCACGAGGTGTTAGCCAACTGACTAGAAAGGGCAGATGTGTCTGCCAGGGTGAGTCATTAAGCAAGAAGCAATAGCTGTTCTTTCTGGCTACATATTTATTAAAAGGTTAAGGACAAATATGGTATCCTGGGGTGAATTAGGAGAAGTATTGCCAGCAGGTCGAGAGAGGTGATCCTGCCTCTCTACTCAGCCCTGGTGAGGCTGCATCTGGAGTGCTGTGTCCAGTTCTGGGCTCTGCTGTACAAGAGGGACATGGAGCCCCTGGAACGACTCCCGTGGAGTGCAACAATGAGAAAAGGCTAAGAGAGAATTTGGCCTGTTCCTGTTGGACCTCATCAGTGTCTCTAAGTATCTGAAGAGAGGATGGAGCCAGGCTCTGCTTGGTGGTGCTGAGCAATGGGTAGAAACTGATGCATAGGAAGTTCCATCTGAAAACGGGGAAGAACTTTACTGTGCGGGTGACTGGGCATTGAAACACATTGTCCAGAGAGGTTGTGAAGTCTCTTTCATTGTAGATATTCAAGAACTATCTGGACAAAGTACTCTATCATGTGCTCTAGGATGGCCCTGCTTGACCAGGGTGGTTGGATCAGATGACCCACTGTGGTCCCTTCCAACCTGACCCATTTTGTTATTCTATGAAATATAAGATGCAGTAAAATATCTCACCTGTTCAATACATTCTTTGGATAATGGTGGAGAAGGAAAAGATGCAAAAATTATCACTCCAACATACAGGTATGTTAATCCCACCAGGAAGTATGCAATAGAGAGGTCTCTTACCTGAGGAGAAACAAGATTTTATTTTGGCCACCACTGACACCAAAACAGACAAAATAAAAACCTCATGAGAAGATTTCTATTGCATTTATTACTGTTAGTTTTATATGTATTACTTTTTAATATTTATCACTATTATTTACACATTTATTTTCTTTCTACTTGAATGGGGACTTCATATCTGGTCCCAATCAGATCAGCTGCAAGGAGACAGCCCAAAGTGGAGCTAGACAAGCATTATTTATCTCTCAATATACAGAAATGGCACCGACAAATATGCCAATAGATGTTATTGCTGGATGCACAAACACACACTAGTTACTAAAGCAAGCAAGAAACCACCTCCATTTTCTTACGTTCACCTATTCCTACTAAAAGCCTTGGGACACAGACACACCTGTCAAAGACAGAAAGCCCAGCAATGCCATATGTTAACTTTTTTGGTCACAAATAAAATCATGCAAAGACATCAATCAGCCTACCCAACTGCAGATATAAGGTAAAGGACAAGTTTTAAGAAGCTGCTTTGAAACTTTAGAGGATGTCACACTGGCTCCAAACCAGAACTAATACACCAGGCTTCTGGTGTATGAATGGTGTAATAATGGAAGACATAGCTAGTACACCATTACCTGAAAAGCCACAAATAAAAGAGAAAGGCACAGGCAGTCACAGAGGTATACATGTCCTTTACTTTTGGCATTGCATTTTATAATGACTCCTTTGTTTAAACTTGCCTACCACTTCACTACTGCATGTCTATAAATGCCTCAGGTAAATGCACTGAACAATAATCAAGGGTTTTTAGGAGACAGTGCTGAAGCTAGGGTCATAAATCCACATTTCAATATATTACACATACTTACGTATGGATTTAAACCTAAACTTCAATGTTCAGGTCTGAAAATTTTGGCCATATTTATAAAATACCTAATATATACAAACATTTTCAATTACACAAAAATAATTAAACATTTAGTACTGGGAAATAAGCAGCAAAACTCTTAAAGTACTTTATGAAACTGCAGGATCGACATATACATCAGAGCAACCTCAGCAAAGCACTTGGTGGGTTACTCTTCTACATCAATCAAAGGAGACCATTTGTTTCTAGTTATTAACTAACCATATTCTGTATAAGCTTATATTACACTACAAAACACTCATTACCTTACAGCAAACCATTTGTTCAGCTGCTGCTAATAATCAGGTTTTCAAAGGATTACTAGTAATGTTTCAATACATGACCCAATTTTCCTTCAACTGTGAAGCAAGTCTCACTAAGTCAGGCATACCACCAGATTATTAGGATTATATTGTTTCCAGACCAGGATGATAATTATGGCCTCCAGCCAGCTCACTGAGCATGAGCAAAGCTTGCTCACATCTGTGCCTGGAAATGCTTCCCTAAGTGCTTCTCTACACTATCTTCTTGACAAAAGAAGCACATCCTATACCGCTCTGGGCTCTTGAAAGGGCAAGGCAGTCCCTGAGGAAAGTATAAAATACTGGATTACAAGTTTTAAGAAAAGTTATGATGGAAGCCAGGGAACTGGAATCTCTTGCTCATTACGTCAGCATTTTTGGGGTAGAAGATTCTTGTCTGATGGGAAATACTATTGGCCTCTTGCAGACTGATGCGAAAAAGGCATCAGTGTGCTGTCAATGTGTACCCCGGGGTGGCCGTCAAGCCCCCAGCAGCTGCACACTTCTAGCTGCAACCTCCTTCTCCTGCTGTGCCGTTAAATGCACATGGAAGATGCTTCCTTAGTCTTCACTCTCCTTGTACTGGTCACCAAGGACGGACTATTATCTTCCATCAGCGGCTGAGCAATAGCATTTTCTTTAAATTATCCCCAGCATTTCTCCTCAGTGACATGAGAATCTGTACAGGCTTTTATATACCAGCTACATACTCAAAAGTACCAGTGCCCACCTGGTGAGACACTGGAAGAGGTTGCCAAGGGACGCAGTAGAAGCCTCAACCCTGTCAGTGTTCAAAGCCAGGTTGGAGGAAGCCTTGAGCAACCTGCTCAGGTGGGAGGTGTCCCTGCCCAGAGCAGGGGAGGGTTGGGACTAGATCATCTATAAAGGTCCGTTCCAACCTCTAAAATTCTGTGATTCTATGATTCTAAAAGTTGATTTTACAAATACTAAATCTGAGCATCCAGGTTCCTTACAGGTATTTATCAGCAACTTCTATTAACTGCTAAAGTCAGAGGCTAACCAGGGGGTAAGGTAGCTCTGCAGAGAGACATGGGCTCTCATCTCTTAAAGACAGGACTTGGACAGTTTTTCTTAAGGCACATTCTCTGCCCAAACCTGCTTTAAATTTGGTATTTTAAGTGTATTCCTCGTGCATAAAAACAGCACAGTAACTCACAGCTGTTATTTGCACTCTGCCTGCATCTAGGTTCCAGAACCAACTGTTTTTGCTGTGGCAAGTGTGAGGGCAAGAAATCTGAAATAAAACTCTTACTGTTTCCTTTGGACTACACAGGAATAAAGGAAGATAGCTGGTGTGCTATTAACTCCGATTATACTAAACAGTTCATGTTTCTGGAGTTCTTAAGAGTGTATGCTCTAATCTGCACAGAAACTAAGTGCTGAGATAATTTTGATGATGTATTTTTACAGCATGTAACACAACAGACTTTTCTTCAGGTGCTGTCACTATACAATGAGTATGTGGTTTTTTACTTCCATAAGCTACAAGAGAAGAAATAAAGGTAACTTGAAAACCTGAATTTATTTTTTCTCAAACATCCACCAGCTCCCTTATGAACACAGGATTCTGTGTATAAGATGGTAATCTTTGTACAAGAACATGTGTTTGTGTACATAACAAGATAGTTATGTACAATCATCAAAAAGCATAATTAATGTTCATTACTCTTCAAAAGACCTGGGTTCACTCCCTAAATACGTTGATAAGAAGTCCTTGAAATAATGTTTAGACAGCATAATTCCAGATAAAAGTAAAGAACACATGGGAAGAGACAGAAGGATTAATTATAAGTAAGAGCAATAACTGCATTTTTCTGTTAAATTTAGTACTTGAGCCATTTATATTCAGAATGGACATCACTGTGGTGAAAGCTGCCTAAGCATAAAATACTGCAATCCTCACAGCTAGAGTTTAAGAATCAAATGTAGAAAAAAAAGAGTAGTTGAAAGAATGCAATACCTGGGGAGACTGGAAGGGAAGTATCAAAGGTTACATGCAGGTCACAGTCCATAAGGATCACACCCTGACACCTGCCAAGCCCTTGTTGAGTACATCTGAACTAACAGGCAGAATTTGATGTGGAACTTGGAGAACCTATGTTAGCTGCAGTTACTCTTCACCAGGAGCCTTTCTGGTCAGATGCACAGAACAAAGTGCCACTGAAGAACAGAAACCTGAGTAACAGAGGTTGGCAGCAGCAGTAGAACAAAGGAAGAAATCAGCCTCCTAACAACAGGATGAATCTGATAAATCAGGTGGAGCTAACAAAACAAACTCTTAAAGTACAAGACACTGCATCATACCCACAGACAAGTACCCAGGCACTGGTTGGACCTGCGCTACAGGGCTGGACACAGCACAGTGAAGGCTCTGTGGCTCTACAGATATTTCCTATGTGACACTGCAAAGAACAGGCAACTTCCAGGCCTTCTTTTGCCTGTTGTATGCCCGAAAAGAAACTAGTTCACTTTCTTCCTCTGTACCACAGTAAACGCAAAATTGTGGACTCTCTTCTTGGATGGAGAAGCCTGTATCAGTGCTTGGCAAATAGTATCACACCCAAAGTACCTTTTAATCATCCCATTTCAGACCAGTCACATCTCAAAGGAGAGATGCTGTAATATCTCAACAGGACTCTGGTCCATATCATAAAAACAGATGTTACCTGTTCAAGCATTAAGGGCAAGTGATAAAATTTAACTGGGTAGCACATAAGTACTTTGTTGGGATGGATAATGCTGTGCATAATTTTGGCTGGAAAGAGAAACCAGTGGTATAGCAACATCAATGGAAGCTCAGTCTGTTTACAGGGAATAAACTGTTTCAATACTGGAGAAAAGAACCATTCAGAGCTTCATGCCATCTGCAGTTACTACCTGGACAAAACTATCTTCCTACTCCCAGCCTTTCTCCCAGATACATCCACAGCAACAGTGAGGACACAGCACTAGCATATTCATGCCTGTAGATCATGGTCTGGGCTTGTGCAGCACCTGCACAGATGCTCAGGGAAACAGATGTGAACCAGAAAAAAACCTCCAACAAACAAAACCCCCCAAAACTCTTTTTGTGGCTGGGTTAGTTTTCTGTGCAATTGGTTTCCAAACCAGCTGACTGAGCACTGTACAAAAGCTTACACTGATAAATACAAGGAGGCAGCAGCGGGAGATGGGACCAGGAAGGTCAGCTTGTAACTGCAGACTAAGAACCGTGCTCACAGGGCTTCTCCAGGCTGTGCTGCTGACATTTGGCTTACTCCAGTGCACTGCTCTTCTCACACCCACACCACTGTACCGGAATAGCAGCCAAAGGAATCCTTACCCATGTGTGTTTTAGCTTTGGGCAGTGATACACGCCTGTGACCAGAATGGAAGCTGCTATTGTTTTGAATTTCTGACTCCATAAAAGGAATGTTACTGTTTCTCTTACTTTTTTTCCACCTCCCAAACCAGTTGTTCTATGACCACTAGTTCCAGCAAGTATTGTTCAAAACTAAAATGGTGCTTTTCCAGCTTGCCAAGTTCTGTGCCTTTCCACAGAACTCTGATGCAAGTAACATGTTAACAGGTCGATCCACAAAAATAAATGAAAAATCAGTATCTCCCCAGGAGATACTGATAGAAGAAAGCATCTTGTTGTAAATACTTAGAAAAAAAACCCCGTGACTTATGATAGAGGCTGAGACCCCATACATATGTAAATATCCCACTTAGTCCAGCAGCTTAGTGACATATTCACAAAACAGCTCTTCAAGAGCATAGGTACTTCATTAACATTTGCAAAGCACTTTTTCCTGTGCAGCTACAAACAGGGAAAGAAATCTCCAGTCAAATAAAACTCCTAAAAGAACTATGCACAGATTTGCTTTCCCATTACAAACCTTTCCTGCCCTATGTCATGTCTTTTCCATGCAATCTGAATGCTCCTCTGGAATGTGAGTTTTGTTGAGGGCTTGGGATCCATAGGGCTGACTAGGAAATTCGACTTAAGCTCCAAGGAGGGCATTAGAAAAGCTGATTCAAATGCAGGCAGGCAGCAGTTTCTTACTCCTTAACACAGGAAAAGTAAGCTGGAGAAGTCTCCAGGTGCAGCTCTTTGCAGCTGAATGCTTGCTCTGATGTAAATGGAGGGAGAAAATACATAGGAAAACCTTGAAGATGGCACCGATTAGGCCTCCTCTGCATACAGAGCTGATTGCTGGAGGTCAAATCCTTTAGAATTTGAAAGCTACAGATAAAGAGAAATCTTTCTCTCTTATTTCACAAGATTGTCTTAAGGAAACTGAGAAAAAGCTTACTTAGCTTTCTTTCTCCAGAGCTCCACTAATTCTTTAGTTGTTAAATTACGTGCAGAGAAGCCTATAAACCCCAAGAAGCTTTCCTGAGGAAGAAATCGTGACTCTGTTGCAGAGGCGATCATTCACAAGCTGGTCCGGGTTCACAGGTACAAAAAAGTAACTGCAGATTACCAAAGCAAAAGGTCATCTCACTGCATTGTCACATAACCTGCACTTCACCTTCAAGTAATCAAATCAGATGTATTTCATCTAATGTGTTGTGTAGGCGACTGGCTCTCAGTGGCTCTGCTTGAGCAGGGGGACAGGCATCCAGAGGTCACTTCCAATCACAAGAATTCTGGGATTCTGTGATTTTGTACCAATTTTTCACACAGCCACATTTCAAAGTCTTTGCATGTTATTCTAGCTACTTTACAGCTAAGATTCAACGAAGCTGGACAATAATCCTGGGAAGTAAGGAGGCAAAAAATAAATAAAGTTCCATCCGCATGAACACTGAGTAACTTTTTCAAGCGCAAAGGACCAATCCAAAGACTACATATCACAACAATTCCCAACCGAGGCTTCAACTTTGAGGATTTCCTACATTTCGTCAGGTTTCTCTATGGACCTTGACTTGGATTGTGACACAAACTACTGAAGCAACTCTGAGAAAAGCTGTTCTCTAAACCTCAAAACTATTATTCTGGACTCCGCTAAAATCAGTCCTGCACTCAATGTTCTCCAGCATTTTTCACTCTAAAACCAGTCAGTTTTACTAGAGCCTTGCAACGTTGTTAAATCTTCTGCCTCTCCTGTGCAATCTGACCATTTAATACCAGCCTGACCACAAGTAGGTCCGGGGCACTTCTCAAGGTTTTCATTTGAATAAATTTGTAATGCATCTGTTACTGCCCTGTAGCCAGTGAAAGGAATGTAAAACTTTTTTCTTTATCAAATCACAACACTGAGTTATATTTTCTGCAGCTATTACAGTCCCTGGATCGATTTCAAGTGAGACAGACAGGAAAAAATTACTGTTGCCTAGCAATATAGATGCAAATCAGCACAATGTTGCAAAATTACTTACATTGTTTTCTTGATTCCTGTTATTCTGAAGAAGTGTGATGACACAATTGTGGATGAAGAACGCAAGTGTTAGAACCCCTGTGAGTTGAGGGAACAGAATTCTAAACTCTAAGAGAAGAAAAAAAGTGTTAATCAGATACTTCTTTGCAAACAAACAATGCCAAAATGCAGAGGACATACATTGCTGTGGAGCATACTGGCAGAAACACAAACCTTCATATTGAAAAGGGAAAAATCTATCTTTCACCGTAGCCAATGCAGACATTTAATCATGAAATATCTACAAAATGCATGAAGACAGTGGTTACTATATAACTCTCTCCAGCAAGGCTTCTCCAATAGACCCCAACAAGCAATGGTTATTAGGCCAATCTAGGATTTACACATAAAATTTTTTCTGCCTTTTTTTAAAAAAACTGGAATGCATTTCTAAGGCTGGAATTGACAGCACTAAGCCTGTGTAACTACTGGTTCCTGAACAGGGAGAAGGGGGAAAGGAATCATTTGCCCTGTGAGCATCTTTTGTTGTTAAGAAGTCAGTTATGCTATCAGAGGAAAAATTACTATCCATGGGAACAGCATTGCTCTGCTTCTTTTAATACTTGAAAGATTTAAGTTCACCAGATTGTGTTTCTGGAAGTGTTGCAAATGGTCTAGGAACTCACCAAAATTCACCAACATGTGATATGACTAAAGCACCATCTGAGTTGGCATTATAGAAGAATATATATATATATATTCTTTAGAGTGTTAACAGCCATCAGACATCCCTTAGCTAGCTCAGTTTCTGGAAACTATCCAGTAGTATAGCAAAACACTCAGAGGCTCACAAACCCTTAGAGATCAAACCACAGAGAGCTCCATGCAAACACATATAAACCAGATTTCTATAACGTGCAATGAAGTCAGCAAGGTAAACACAACCCAGGAAACTACTGAAGGGCTCATCCAAGCTGAAAGAATATGCCTACCCTAGGTCTGGATTCACTGTATCTTCAATACCTAACTAGCATGATGAGCTACTGATAGAACTGAGAGTGCAAGCGGCTTTTGGGCTTGTTTTCCATCCACTACTTTAATCTCAATAATTAAATGCAAATTGACAGGTTCAGAATATTTGATCACTACATTCCCCCATCACTGCAACGATCAGTCATAGCTGGATTTGTATGCATTAGCTACATGCTTCATCTATCTCCTAGCAAGCAGCACTAGTCACACTGCCAAAATAATCCAACCACTGAGTGCTCTACTTCAAAGTGACCAGTGGCGTATGTGTTGCGCTGTAACTCATTTTACACTAGGACTGCTTAACAGATCTTGGACATGAACTTCAAGCAGCTTAAAGACCTGGTTTCTTTCCTAGGCTGGTTTCTGGTTCCTGTGGGTTTGCTAGCAAACCACAGTTTGGGCAGATTTTCTCCTGGACCCTTAGAAGAGTCCACAGACATGTGAGCAGTTGAAGACTGTCTGCTGGGGCAGTTTAGGTTAAAACCATGATTCCACGCTCACAATGGAGCAAAACCAAACACTGTGGTCTATCTGATGTGCAGCACATGCTCAAGTTACCGACAGCATTAAGAATAGTAGTACACCAAATAAATTAGGACATTAACACAGATGCTAATTATCCAGTGCTTTGAAATCCAAATTTTTACACTGGAGACAAAAGCTGTTGGTTAGCCTAAAATTGCTGCCAAGAAGTAAATGCAGTGATAGAGGAAAGCAGATAGCATAGACAGCACTGTTTCAGAACTATCTACATTTGTCTCTAAGTTTGTACTTATGCTGTAATATTCAGGAAGATTCTCAAGAAATTAAGAGAGATAATCCAATTGTTTTGTTCCTGCACAAAGTCACTCAGCAAAAATTGTCTATCTTTGAAGACTCAGAGAAGATAATAATTTTTTATTCCTTGATAATGTGACCAAGCTGAAGAAACTGTTTCACATAGCCTTTCATTTGTTTCTTGGCATTCAGATCTGCAGAGTTCTGAATGCCTGGCTGAGATAAGGAAGGAATAACCTTCAGCAGTTACAGAAAAATGAACAAACGGGTTTGATGACAGCTAGAGGCTGGGAGGTGGATAATACTGATTCTTTCTAATGCACATATCCCTTGTCAAGCATACATGCAATACACTAGTTAAGTTGTTTATTCTGCTTATTTTTGTGGCAGATAATTTCAGTTCAACTAGAGAGATCAATCAACCCAGAGTGGTATAAGACAGAGTAAGTAGTTGCAAGGACACTGCAACTGTGATGTGAAAACACATAAATCAGTTGAATTCGTATCACTAACTTTACTCAACTAACTACTATCTGTAGTTTACTCACTGAGCTGTTACTCTTGTTGCCACAGTGTGTTACCATAATTCCACAGACTATTAGAAACATGAAACACAAACAACTCTGGTGTGTCTTTTTTGATTTCTATCTTGCTACAGTAATTCAAGACTCATCCTAATGTTTTAAGTTATCCTTGTTTTCTCCAAGTCTACATTATTTGACCTAGGAATAATTTACAACCCATGTGTAAGCTTTAGCTCAATGTCTACTGTGACTAAGAAACTAAAAATGTACAAACCACAAAAAGAAACCCTAAGAAGGTGCATATCCCTGCATTTTGTTTTAAGTAAAGAAGAAACTTTTAAAGAAGGACAAAATACTCTTGTTTCTAAGAACAGAAGCAGTGATACTACTCAATAGTACCGGACACAGCTCCACAGAGCTAACGTGGCAAACAATTTTTCCTGTTGTAAAGGATGAGGAAAAACCAGCTATGACCTAACCCTGGATCTCTTATTCCAGGCCTCCTAAAACAAGAAACGCATCTCTTTAGACTACCTGTCCATGGAATACCAAATGCTTATACCAAATGTTTATAACTATGACATCTCACAGAGTAATGTGCAACAGTGATTTGGAAAGAACAAACAGCCACCAAACAACATTCAAGCAAAGAAAAACATACTGGTGAGCTAATGGGTGTTTGAAAGAGAAGAGCTAAGATTATGGCCTAAAACCTGAGATAGACTAGACAGTACAGGAAAACTGTACCTGTAAATTATGGTGAATGAGCTATTTCATTTAAGCAAGATTCTGTGTGTGGAACTTAAAGCGCCTTTATCAGTCAGTCTTAACTGCTATGAAACAGGCACAACTTGAAAATGGTGCAACCAGAATTTAGAATATGGATGAAATGGGACTATGGCAAGCTGCCTGTCACATGATACATGTTTGACATTCCTCTGATAGGCACTGCTCCTCTTCTCCACTGTTGATACTATCTCTTAACTAAGGAATGCCACTGGGAAAGGGATTCCTTGTCACTCTGTCATGAGGGATCCTTCCTCTACATGCAACATCAGACAGCATTTCCTCACTTTGTTATGTCACAGAGATGTTAAAAGATGAATGAGAAAGTCATTCATGAATTGCTTTAAAAAACCAAACACTCATTATATATACATTTCATTACCACATTTTAACCATCTTACCTGGCACAAAAAAATCATTCTCTGTAAACCAGTTGTATTCCAAGTGCATTCCCAGATGAACAGCCTTTACTGTAACCAGAAAAACTAAGTAGACAACTGAAACTGTGCCTGCAAAAGACAAGAGCCAAATAAACACCATGATCATAGAATCATAGAATCAAAGAATCATCAAGGCTGGAAGAGACCTACAAGATCATCCAGTCCAACTGTCCATCTAGCACTACTACTGCAACCCCTAAACCATATCACCCAGCACCAGATCCAGACACCTCTTGAACACAAGATGCAGTGGAAAGTGTTTTAATACAGTGTTCTATTTCTGCTCCATGCAACTAGTTACCAGTAGCCCAAACAGTCAGGGCTGGTATTCCTTCTTAGTGGCAGTCTCAATTTTTTCTTTACTTCTTTCTAGGTCAGAGAGAAAAAGTAACACACATGCACCCAACGTAAGCTTTCAGCATGTTTAATGTTCTCCAGGTCCTGAACTAGTGACATGGGAAGAAGTACCCTAATAATGCCTACTGCTGAGCAGGTAGGGAGGCCTCTAGCAAGGAACAGATCAGTTCCAGCTTCAGCTGTTAGGATTTTAACCTAACCTGAGACAAAGCTGGTCACAGTACTCCAGTTATTACAATGCCCCTTCAGTCACTGACTTTTTGAACCAAACAGTCTAATGAAATATGAACACTTACTGCAGTTGTGAACTTTATACTGTGAGCTACAAACTGATAATGATATTTGATCAGTACTGATGAAAACCTTATCTTAATCATAACCTTGGATAACCTTGATCGTAACACTGGATTTGGATTCCATGTCACTGGTTCAGAGGCATCCAACAGTATGCTGCACAGAGAGAAAACTACAAGTAAGATCACAGGTGGGTATAAATGTCTTGCTGTGTCTACATGTGGGATGCAGAGCACACGATCTTGTCTTGGGTCATTTGAAAGAGATAAGGGCACACTAGTAACTACCTAAAAATTGGAGGACACTGAGCAACAAGAAGGCTCTGCAATGCACTTCCTGGCTAATAACGCTGCCAGTCATCAGAGAACAGGTTCTAAGTAAGTAAAGACAAAGAAACAGCATTTTTACACTTTAGAATTCATCATTTAGACAGACATCATTTTACTCTCGCAATATCTGCAGGATTGAAAAATAAACTGAAGACATCATCATTTGATTACATGCAGCACAGTCAAGAAATTAGGAAGATGAAAGGTTCTATACTTGAAGATCAGCTTAAGAGCTAAAATATTCTGTAGTTTCCTAATGACTTAGATTTCTGTGTGTATAAAGATAGGTAAAAGTTCTCTACTTTGAGAAATTTAAACATGGCAAAAAATGCTTTCCATTTTTTCTTGTCATATGACTTCAAGGTTTACAAAAATTAAGGCAAATTTAAATAGCTTCTGAATTGCATAATAACCTATGAAGCTATGAGAAATAATATTCAGGGGTTTTTATTCCTACTATTAGATCTATCTATAGAAAACCCTTCATTTTCACACACAAGCACTATAAAGCACTCGAACTCTTGTGCAGTATTTACATTTAGTAGTTCCAGCAACAGCAGATCCAAGCTCTAATGAAGTGTCACCATGGAATAGAGGACAAACAAGACTCACAAATCTCTGTCCACTACAGGCTTTACAGTACATCTCCAACTTTTTCAACCTGCTCTCTGATCCTCATTTACCTTCCCCTTCTCTTCTTCATGGGCTCCAATGCCACGCCCTCAGACCTCTCCTACTCCATAAACTGTGCCCTACTCCACCCATCATTCACTTGCTTTACCCACTTTACTAACCCCACCCACCTTGGTCTTCTACCTCCAGACATGGAAGCAAGAAGGCATCACTGTTGCCCTTGTAACAGAGAATAGTCCAGTGTATTTGCATCTGGGAGAAAGTAGAGCAGCAGTTCATACTCACTGACTGATGCGACTAATTAATCGACTCATTGGCAGCAAATTACTCCAGGTCAGAACAAATGAATCTTTAGAAGGAACTACCTGTTTTGACATGTATCTCAGGTGAGGAAGGGTATGCTTCATTATGCCAAGGTAGCATGCATCAAATGTAGTGTAGTATGTGTACCATCATTTGGGAAAATCTGTTGCAAATGTAGTGGAACTTGTTTTACAGGATTATCAAGAGAGCAAAGAGAAGAAAATTTAACTCCCTATTAACTGTAAGGTTCAAGTAAAGCTGAATAGAAAGCCTGTGGGATTAATAAACCAACCAACCAACCATTTTGAGGCACAATAGGGGCTGCCAGCAAAACACTGGGAGAGCAGCTGGAAAGCTGCCTGGCAGAAAAGGACCTGGTAATGCTGGTCAACAGCAGCTGAACATGAGTCAGCAGTGTGGCCAAGAAGGCAAATGACATCGTGGCTTGCATCAGAAATAATGTGGTCAGCAGGAGTAGGAAAGTGATTGTACCCCTGAACTCAGCACTGGTGAGGCTGCACCTGTGACATGAATACTGTCAGTTTTGGGCCCCTTGACAAAAAGGACACTGAGGTGCTCAAGAGTGTCCAGAGAAGGGCAATGAAACTAGTGGAGAGTCTGGAGCATGAGTCTGATGAGAAGCAGCTGAGGGAGCTGAAGGTGTACAGCCTGGAGAAAGGGAGGGTCAGGGGAAACTTTATTGCTCTCTACAACTGCCTGTAAGGAGGTTGTATGAAGGGGAGGAGAAACAAGTGATAGGATAAGAGGAAATGGCCTCAAGCTGTGTCAGGGGAGGTTAGATTGGATATGAGGAAAATCTTTTTCTCTGAAAGGGTTGTCAAGGATTGGACCAGGCTGCCCAGGGAAGTGTCAGTCACCACCTCTGGAGCTATTTAAAAGATATGTAAATGTGGCCCTTAGGGATATGGTTTAGTGATGGACTTGGCAGTGCCAGGTTAATGGATGGACTTGATGATCTCAGAGGTCTTTTCTAACCTAAGTGATTCTACTCACTGGATTAGCTTTCACTGTCTTCTATACATTTTAGTCACAATGAAACCATGCTTTAATAGTATTTGTTACCTACCTAGGACATTAAACTTTGCAAAGAAGGATGGAGACTTCAGATTTAGCATGGGTAGAAGAACAGCAATCAGGTAAAATGGTACTGTTTTTGATTTGTCCCACCAGTCCTCGAAGAGTTCAAAATTTGTCCTGTTGCCAGAAGAGAACATCACACTCCTGTTCTGTGGTGGTTGACCACTAGCAGCACTTGGACAAATGACTGGAAGAAAGGAAAAGACAAATATCTTCAGATGATAAGGGTTTTAGTTACACAGAATATTCACAGCCAAGATTCCATAATTTCTGATGTGTTTTACCAACTGAAGATCACTCAACAGCAATGTTTGACATCTAAGTTCCTAACTTCTGGGGTTTTTTTATCAGGAGTTCATTGATAACATTTCACTACTAGGCACTTTGTACTCTGATCTGATAGTGTTACAGTTCTTCCAGCTGAGCACAGCAAAGATTTGTGTTTGTCTGAAGCCCAAGTTGTGGCACAGGACCAGCTTTCAAGGTCACGTACCTATAACTAGGTGTGTACACTGCCTTTGTGCACATGCTGGAATCAAGTCATAGCAATGCACCCTCACGTCCTATTCTGTCCCTACACACTTCAGTAAGATCATATGAACTAAGATGGAAGTGCATCTGTGTATAGGAGAGCCTGAATTACTGTACATTGCTCTAAAAACACACAAACCAAGGATGACAAGAAGCTACTGTAACAACTGGCAGGTCTACAATTCATGCATTGAACCAAAACACTCTGCCATCTTGGTGCCATGCAAGTACATCACTGCTGGACAGTACAACAGAAGCAATTTCAGATATGGTCCTGTAACACTGCTGAACGGGAACATTACACTCCTGTCACATGGTGGCTGATCAATGGCAGCACCTGAGGAAGTGACTGGGACAAAACCAATCAAACAATAAGGTCCCTTGATAAAAACATGCTTATTTGATTTTTCTAACACATGCCTATGAAGTTTTGTGTTGAAATATAAACCTGTCTTACTGTTCTTATAACATCATTTTAAATTTTGACATCCTACAATACTCAACAGCCACCCTCCACA